AGCATAATGGCAGTTGTAGTTACTTCACATGGTGGTACTTAGCTGTAATTTATGAGCTGACATATATGAATATCCTTTGAGATGGGCATTCTGAGCACATTAAGATGAAAATACAGCAAATGTTTTATTATCAGCAGTTCCACTATTCCAAAAGATTTAAGCTGCAAATCTAAATGCAATCAAATGAAAATAAGCCCTTGCTTTTGGGTACACACAAATAAGATTGCATTGTCAAAGATACTAGGTTTATGGCATTTTATGTAATAAATATAATTGTTCCATTGTTATAGGGTATCTGCTAAGCTTTTAAAAAAAGGACTGTGCTTCTTAAATCTCATCTGAGTCCGCTGAAGAGGCAAAAGGGGAGGGAAAGACCTGCTCATGACAGAATCTAAGTATCTTTACTGAACTTGGTGCAAGCATACAATGCTTTCAGCCATCATACTAAACTATTTTTATCTGGAAAAATGAAATTTCTCTACCAACTAAATATTTCATTTGGGATTGTGAATTTTGGGAGTGTGTAGTTAGATTGGGAGCTTATAAGGCATTGTAATTATAATAGGGCTTCTTTGAGAGCAAATGGCTATATGAATCCGCCTTAAGGTTTTTGTTTACATCTAGGATCAGCATAGATAGCATGAGATAGGTAGCTAAACAAACCAAAGATTAAGTCTGGTAAGCCTAGCAGATGTAGGTTGTATCAGAGTAAAATTTTGGGAATTATTTCTGTGGGGTAATAAAGCCATTTGTACTTTGGAAAAGAAAGAAGTTTAAAAGAGCAAGTTGTGGCTAGTTTATCTTTTTTCAATATGTTGCCAGGTACAAGGCACAAAAACAAGATGCTTAAGGAGAAACATTCTAAGAAGTTAGATTTTTACATTTTTGTGAGATTAGTCAAACCATCAGAATGATTTTTTCAGAAGGAAAGCACTTAGATTGAAAGTAAGGGAATTATATGAAGCTAGACTGTTCTATAATACCAGTCAGTAAGTTTATAGCATAATTGACATAAAGTATGGTATTAGATGAAAGGTTGGCATAGGATATAAACATGGTATTGGATGGGCAAGGTTTCTGCCTTCTATTTTAACTCAAAAAAGCCGTCTGTTTGGTGAGAGAAGGAAGGGAATTATTGTAAGTTTTACTCTTTCTATTTCTGTATTGAATATGGAAAGTGTAGATGAATGAAACTTTATAATAAAAATATTTTATTTACCTTCAGCTGGTGTCAAAACTTCACACTTTATTGTATCAGAGAGCCAGTGTGGTGGATAAGCTGTTGGACAGTGGACCTGGGAGATTTGGGTTCTAGTCCCACTTAGCCATGAAACTCACTGGATGACTTTAGGGCAATGATTCCCTCTCAGCCTAAGCTATTTCACAGGGTTGTTGCTGTAAGAATAAAATGGAACTATATACGCTGCCTTGGGTTCCTCACAAGAGGGAAAAGGCAGGATGATGAGGATGAGGATGATGATGATATCTTAGTCCATGTCAAATTCTAGTAGATAGGACATAAAAATCTTGCCAAAATTCAAAATACCTTTCAATTTGTTTATTTATTAGATTTATATCCCGTCTTTTTTCGTACAACAAATTTAAAGCAGCTTTCATCATTTTTCTTCTCCTGCTCTGTCTTATCCCCACAACAACTCTGTGAGGTGGGTTGGGCTGAGTTTGTGATTGGCCCAAGTTCACCCAGTTGGCTCCATGGCTGAGCAGGGATTAGAACCCAGATCACCTGAGGCCCAGTCCCATACTCTTAAGCACTACACCACCCACTGCACCACAGTTGTACATGTATAAACTATTAATATGTGTGGCTAGTGGGACATATGAAAGTGATATATTACAGAACACCATTCCATAGTTTAGCACAATGGAACTTAGCCCTGAGTTTGCACACTTCCTTTCTTTCCTTTATTCAAGGACTCTGCATTAATAGTTCCCAGTTTGTAGCAAACTATATTTTGCTATTATATCCTGGTCTTCTGTCCTTGCCTAAAGTCCAGGTAAACTGTAGTTTCCCTGCTCAGATGCAATAGCATACTGTAGTTTGCTGCAAAGCCCAGAAGGGTAGAAGAACATGTTTATGGCCAAAAATCTTATTTCTGCAGAACCACATCATGATCGTGGTCCAAATCACTGAAACCTTCTCAAAGTAGTGTCTGCTACTTAAGAAATTAATAAAACTTTGTGTTTAAATTGATTTATGGAGAAAGTTTAACCTCCTTGAATGGCTTTGTGCAGGGCAGTATCTATATTGTGCAAAATTGTATTGTGCAAGTATGGGATTTTAAAAGTTATCCAGAATGTCTTTTTTATTGTAACTAGATTCTTTTCAACTTCACTTTGTAAAACATTAGCATGCCATTGACCAAATAGTCACTTTGTTTGACTAGCATAAAAGTGAACCTCAGAGTTATTTCTACCTTTTCATGTGGGTAGGAAGGCTATTGATCCATTATGTCTGTAGAAGGACTTTTTGAATGCAGCATCTTCAAGAAGGTTCCGTGTGTTACATGTGAATTTAGATCCTAGAGTCCAGCCTCCAAAGAAACACTTTAAAGGCATGAAAGTCCCCTCAAGGTCTTCCCTGTTTCTTCCCTCTTGTCAATGAATTACACTTCTTAAGCTCTGCAGGGATTTGCTGTTCAGCAGATGAGATTGGGAGGCCCTTCTATGCACAAGGCGCTAGGCATACAAGCAGTTGGACATAGCCCAAAAAGAGCAGGAAGCCCCTCTGTAAACTATAGATCACAGTACGGAACATCAGTTTTGGGGCCCAGATCCTTTCCACTTGAGATTCCTGTATGATTTAGATAGGCATGCCCCTCTCCTCTGGGCATTCTCCAAAACCACCAGTCATTTAGTGGTTTTCTGTCTTTTGTGAAGTCTGCTTTCCCTGCCCACCCCAGAAGGTTGCAAAGACCACTCCAGTGCTTACTTATTTGCAATAAAAGCTTTAAATTAAAATAAGCTGGTATATTTTGCTCCAGTACTTTTCCTTTTGTGTTTCCCCACCCCCATTACTAAAATGCAACTCCCAAGAGCTTCACCAAAATGCAGTTAGGCTGTTGAACTGAAAGAGCTGAACTCTCCTAGCATTGTTGCCGTTGTGTGCTGTCAAGTAATCTCTGACTTATAGCAACTCCAAGAATGAAAGCCCTCCAAAATGTTTGACATTCCTGCATAGCTGTTTGAAGGCTGTGGCTTCCTTGATGGAGACAATCCATCTCTTATTTGGTCTTCCTTTTCTTCTTTTGCCTTCAACATTCCCTAGCATGATTGTCTTCTCCAGTGAGTCTTGCCTTCTCATGATGTGCCCAAAGTATGACAGCCTCAATTTTCTCATTTTTGCCTCTTACAGTCATAGCATAGATGGATTGTAATGGAGGCATAAATGTTTACTTAGAAAAACATAATTGCCGTTCTATCAAGCAGTCATATAGCTAGTACTTATTGAAAACTCATCACATATGGGGATAGTTTGTGCTTTTAATTTTTGTTTAGTCAGGAATGCATTGGTGTTATTTTTGCCTTTTTGAACAAGGTAACAAATACCTTGGTTTCACAAACATGCTGGTGCAAGATGATAAGCCAGAGGTCACAGCTACTTTCCTTCTCCCCTCCACCTATACATCTTTTTAAGAGGCTGTTAATTTTGAAACCTAATTATGATCACATAAATGCCAGCACCATTAATTGCATCTGTGCTGAACAATTAACCACTTTCCCAGGCACAGAGTGTTCATTAGCATGGCATTTCAATTGACTTCAGAGAGATGCCTGAAGCTCATAAAATGGCACTTGTCATTTGGATAGCTGTACAATAGAATTGTATCTGTTTTATGTACTTATATCTCCATATCTGTAAAATATACCCAAGTACAAAGAAGCCTTTGTCTAGCTATTTTTTATTTATGCAGTTCTTTTAAAATACTATCCTGTAATTGAAACTCTTTCCATATACATCTGATTCTTTAAAAAAACAACAAATGGTATAAGGGCTGTATTAAAAATGCGAGGCAGAACATGAGAGGCATTTTAAAATACTGCCACTTGTCAACATTGCTCAGCTGACAAACTGAGTATTCTTGATGATATAGTTTTCACTGAGTAACACGTGGAAATCGAAACTGAATGATACAAATGGGTTGCAAAAGCAGTTTGCTGTGCAGAACAAACTTGGCACACTTTGCTAATGGGATACAAAAGTTACATGGCTTTTTAAAAAACCTTTTCTCATCAAGCAAGCCACTAGTAGAGTATCTGGCTTTTGTCTTAGGGAAGTTCTGGGGACTAAAGTGTGTGGTGCTTGTTGGCATCAATGTGCTCAGAAATGCCTCTTCTTGCCCCCATTATTGTATTTAAGATTTTTATTTTAACTGGGAAGCTGCATGCTGCAAAGTGAAGTGCTGTCCTTCAGCATCTTCTTGATTTGGGATTCAGCAAAAGTGTTTTGGAACTCAGCTTTGTACTTCAGTTATTTAAAAAATTATTTTTCATTAAGCATCACCAATTCACCTTTTACGAAATTAGTACTGTGTGACCAGCCATTTTATGAATGAGCACCCCCTCCACACACACCATGGCAACTATTTTTTGAGGGCACTTACAATACTCTCAACATTTCAAATGTGCCGTCAGATCCAAAATGTTTGAGAACCTCTGGTGTGGTTAGTTTGCATTTCTTCCTTTGCCATAACTGTTGTGGTAGGAATAAAGATAGAAAATGCAGTGGGAAATGGGGAGAATGACAAGTTAAAGATTACTTTGTTTGGGCCCACTGTAAAATTATTTGAGTTAGGCAAGATGATCTCACAGGAAAAATGTCATCTGGAAGTGAAGTTGAAGGTGTTAAAGGTACTTAGCTGACAACTCATAGAAGTTAGTTGGTCTTCTAGTTTTCTAAATGTATACCTCTTTGGAGTAAATATTTATATGTGATACTCTTAATATGAAGATTTTTTACTAGATATGTATTACCTTTCCAGGACTTCCAACAGCAGCCAAACTCTCTCATCGTGCCATACAATGGAGCCTTGTACATCTGATGAGTTTTTTCAAGCACTCAATCATGCAGAGCAAACCTTTAAAAAGATGGAAAATTATCTGAGACACAAGCAACTGTGTGATGTGGTATTGGTTGCTGCTGATCGCCGGATTCCAGCACACAGGTAAGTATGAATATTGACTCTTAAGTTATATTTAATTTCAATTATTAAATATTGTAATATATTAAACAATTGACTGTTTAATAATAATAATATTGGTAGCTGATCCAGTTGTAACATGTGGTGTTTCCAGGTTAGATGTTTTCCCCTAGTAGCTTTCAATGCACACATCCTAAAAGGAGCTCAATGAGGACTGGAGTTGATTCCAGAAGAATGCTCCTAACTATCAGTCAAATGACATTGTTCTTCTTAACCAATTTTTAAATTGAAAGAATAGAGATAGAAGTAGAGTTGGAAAAACACAAGGGGATTATAAATTGTATTGACTAGACTCTCCCAAAGGAACAGTGAATGAGGCAGGGAGATGGCACAATAAAAACCTTGTCTGTGAGTACCTTAAGTGTGTTCATTGTGAAGTTGTAAGACACTAAAATTGTTGATCAAGGAGCTATAAATTTCTTAATCCAATAGAAAGTTCATTCAATTACGAGATAGTTCATCAAATTTAAAATGATTTCATAACTATTCTCCCTTCAAGATGAAAGATAATAAAGTAGGTAATAACATGTCAAAGTGACTGTTCCTTTTACTCTCTTTTCTCTTTCATATGGTCATAGACTGGTGTTGTCCTCTGTCTCAGACTACTTTGCAGCCATGTTTACTAATGATGTAAGAGAAGCAAGACAAGAAGAAATCAAAATGGAAGGTGTGGAGCCAAATGCACTATGGGCTTTGGTGCAGTATGCCTATACAGGTAAAGGAAATGGCTGGTGAAAGCAAACCAATATTCTTTGCTAAGTAAGTGCTAAATTCTTATAGCTTGTCTGTGGGGAACAGGATACCTAAGATGGCAAATGATATGGACCATTTGTGAGGCACTGCCCACCTGGGGTTGCAAATGTTTAGTTAGTCTCAATATACAGCCAATAAAACTGGCAGGAAGTATATTCAGAACAGATGAAATAAACATACCATGCATATAGAATTCAATGACACAACTATGATGTTAGCTCCTGGCTGAAAATGCATTAAAGTGAGTTGGACCAATTCATGGAAGATCCATTTGTCAATCATGGTTAGTCATGATTGCTAAATGGAGCCACTTGTTTGGAGGCAGTCTGCCTCTGAATACCAGGTACCTGTAGATAAACAAGGTAAAATGTTACCCTCACATTTAACTTGTTCTAGAAGCATCCACTGTTTTTGGAAATTGGGAGTACTAGATCTAACAGTGCTTCCTTCTGTTCTTCTTCTTTCCCAAATAATGAATACCTTTTCAACTCTCTTAGGTCGCCTTGAATTAAAAGAAGATAACATTGAGTGTCTATTATCTACAGCTTGTATTCTCCAGCTCTCTCAGGTGGTAGAAGCTTGCTGCAAGTTTTTAATGAAGCAACTCCACCCATCAAATTGCCTTGGAATCCGCTCCTTTGCTGATGCACAGGGCTGCACAGATTTGCACAAAGTGGCCCACAATTACACTATGGTATGTTGTTTTTATACATGAATTTATAATCTGTTTATAATGAATGGCTCTTTTAAAAGGGATACAAGAAAGAAAAAAATATTTTATATATTGCAGAATTTGTCCTTGAATAAGTGACACTGCTTTCTCTTAAGATTATGAGCTGGAAGCCCCAGTTCACATCTCAGCTGGGCCATGAACTGCTTTGACTTGAGCAGACTGCTATTTCTCAATTCACTCCATTCTTCCTTGTGGATACCTTGAAGACCATGTGCTTTGAGCTCTTAGGAAGACTGCTAATATGTGTACACACACACACACTAAATGATAAGTATTGTTAAGTTGATGATACATAAAATCAGTGAATTTCAGACAAATTGGTAGCTGAGTGGGATAGAGAGTTTAGATTTTACAGTTAATCAAGCTTATCTGGATGGAACTAGAATAGATCCCTTGAGCTTCTACCATGTGTTGTTCCCATGCTACGTTACTTTCACACTGGATTTTCACTCTGGATAATAGTTTATAATCCATGGTGTTTGGTCATGTTATCTGAATCCAGCCAGAGTAAATAAACGATGCTGTTGGCTTCTGACAGTGCAACACACCACCATGGCTTATTGTATTGTGTGAACCCAGTCAATGGCCAGGTCTGGATCATAAAAGAGGAAAAGAAGCCACAGTGACTCCTTTTCCCACCCCCCACGTGCTAGTTTCACATTATGGGATTTCCTTCATTAGCCCCATGACATATTGCTTTCGATGTCCTGTGAACCCAGCAAAGTATGTAACAGGGTTTAAAACCACCACAGAAACCTACAGTGAGGCATAGGTTCTGGGGAGGTTTTGAAGACACCTTCACCACACACTTCACTGGGTTTGGATGACATAGTATCCCATGTACCATGAGGGTTATTAGGGAAATCACGTGGCATTTGTCTGGCTCCCAGGGAGTGGGGAAAAGAAGTCATTGTGGCTTCTTTTCTCCCAGTGATAATTCATACCTGGCCGATTATGAATCTAGTTCTGGATGTCCCATTAGTTTGGCAGATATATAATTAAACTGTAATTATGCATGAACTATACTCATGTGCTGTCAGCAGCTATGTAAGAATTGAAAGTTCTTTTGACATGTATTAAGAATTGCTTGGTGCAGCTGCCTTGCAAATGTTTCAGGAACGTTGTCATGCAAGGCATACTTTTTGTTCTTCTGTGGCTCCTGATTGCTTTTCTTGCTACTTTTTATATATTATTGATGCACCATTTCCCCTTCCATTTAAGCTCTTGAGATGTATTACAATAGCTTCCTTAAAGCTACAGCCATTGAAATTGCTACCTTGAAGCTATTGACACTGAAATAAACAGTGACACTATTCTAGTCTTTAATAGTTTGACATGAATGAAATTTAAATTAGATGGATTTTAAAAAGCTATTTTCCAGGGTAATTAGTTGTACTAAATGAATCCTTCCCATGGCCTCTTTTTAATGTTTAGATCCAACAGGGACATGAAATTGAATTTTTGTAATAATGAGTAATATAGAAGTCTCATTTTGGTTTGAAATGAATGTTGCCATGGAAACAGAATAGAAACATGTAGTCCAATTGAATCTTCACTTAGAATAAATCCCTATACTAATTTCATTTGCTTAAAAGCTTCTTGGAAGCAGAGAAACGTTAGCGCTAAAACAACAGCCATTTGATGTTCATTCTTTAAAAGTATTGCAATGTGAGTTCACTGTACCTATTCTACCACTAAATCGTGTAGCTTATTAAAACCTATGAATAATGCATTCCATTCCAACTGGTGGTAAGTTCCAGAAAGAGCTTTAAGTGCAGAGCATTTGTGTATGTTATAGCTTGATGCTACGTTGATCCTTCTGAGGCCTTCTGAAATGTGAATTGAATTAAAATAAAATATTTGCATTTCAGTTTGAACCGATTTCTACTGTTTTGTTGGCTTAGCCAATCTTATCTGAGTAGCTGTTTACTCTGTAGGATGTTCATGACTGCAATTAAAGCATTCTGTCTTTTAAAAAGCCACTTGCTGTTCATAAGCCTGTTCATAAGATGAAAATGTGAGGAACTGAAATTGTACAATTTCCCACTTGGGTGCTGTGTGCAGAACTAACCTTGGTTCAGCTGAAGTGAATATTTCTTGGTTTAAGAGCATTTTCAGTGAACATTCTCAAAGGATTCTCTTAAACTAATAGGCTTTTCACACACTAAACAATGCTTTTAGCATGTCTTGATAGCATTGGCATGTTATTGTTTCATATACCAGGGTATGAAGTCTAAGTAAGAAAGCAGTTTGTCATTTCAGCTTACAATTGGCTCTTTCAGCTGTACTACAAGACCAGAAGATACGTTCTTCTTACAATTTTTACCTTGCACAGTTTTGTATTAGGGCATCAAAATATCTTGATGTTCAGAAGGAAGATGCTGATAATTTGAACAAGGGTATTCGCCTAGCATAATTTAAATTCATGCTTTGATTGTGCACAAGCACTCTGTACAGAATTCAGTGTTCTAGCCTTTATGGTTTTAAATGATTGCTTGAAAATACATGTTTATTGTGTTGACTGTACTACATCTGCAGGACTTAAGGTGTCTTGTGGGATAGACAGGGTAGATCAAAGTCATCTTATATACACCTGTTAGGGAGTACGCCCATTTAACAGTGCAGCATACTTCTGAGTAAACATGCAGAGGATTGCATTGTGAGACAGTAAATAGAAGATCTGCTTCTAATTTGGGCCATATAATAACAAAAATGCCAATATTTGAGAACTTATCCTAATTCTGATGTTACCTCATGCCCTTCAGAGCTTGAAAGATCTACTCCTACTCTTCAGAAAAATGTTGGAGAGAGTAATGCAAGAACAGCTGTGCTGGAACAGATCAAGGGTCTATTCTGATCCCACCAGGGCAAACCAGATGCTTCTGAGAAGTCCCCAACTAGGACATGTGTGCAATATAGCTCCCTGCTATAAACTCTTTAACTTAATAAATTATGACTGCATCCCAAATTCTGTAGAGCTACTTTCTGTTTTCAGTACTCAGGAACTGACAAGTGGCAGTTAATAAGTTTGTAATCATCTCAACATCAGCTATAGCAATGCATCGTTCCAAATAAGTTAATAATAATGGTTCCTTTGCAACTCCATAGCCTGTAATTCGGTCAATAGAATACAGTACAAGATGCCATGGTGTGGTAAACAGATATAAAATTGGTTTACTTTATTACTCACATTTCCTGGCCTATTCCCTTTTCTGTATTGTGTCTTTTAGATTGTACATCTGTTAATAGTGACTATCTTGCTTTTAACCTGTGTACAGCATTTAGTACATTTTATATTCATTTATAAACTGTTATAAACTGTTAATAAATAAGGTCTTCTCTTTTACGAACACTTCATTCACCTTATAAATCCTTATTTTTCTATGTTTTCTTAATTATATGTTATAAAATATAGCACTATATAAAATTGAAATAATATGAAATTGAAAATAAAAAGTTATAGGAAGGAAATGTGTTGGTAATGCCAGATGAGCCTCAGGGCAGAGGGGCTAGATATGATTGCCAAGGGTTGTGGGTAGGACTTAAGTTCTCGGCTGAACTTTTTTCCTTTCCAGTCTAAATCATGCCAGATAGTAATTTCAGAATAAAATTTACAGATTATGCATGTTTGTATAATTAATACAATTTATAGTGTTTAATTTTTCTTTACACAGAATTTGGGTTCAGTTTTGGATGGGGCTACTTTTCTTAACATGAAGAAATACAGTAATCTTTCTATAATAACATTTGTTTTTCTTAGCTTCACAACCAACTTTTCATCTTCTCTTATATCCTGTCCTTTGGGGGAATGCATAAGTGATACTTTGTTTTGTCATGGGGTACTTCTTATACACATGCGATATTCTTTGAGGTGGGAGTTCCTCATGTGTAAAACAGTCCTGAAAGATTTGACAGATACTTGCTAGTTTTGGGACTCCCTTACCTACAATGCTTTGCTGCAATTCTGTTTGTGGAAAGTCATGAAATATGTAACAAGGAATGAAATTGAGAGATTACAGAAAGGGTCCCCAAGAGAGTGTTTTCATTTGTAACTTTGGGAGATGCTATCCAAACCAAGCCTGAAACGACTTTTCCATTAACAAGTGCCTTGGTAAGTCTTTGGCTATAGCCAACCTTGGATTCTTGGGAACTGCAGCTCTCATTTACTGCTTCTGCTGTTCTCCTCACCAAATTGTTTGTTGTTTGAAAGGGAGTAAGAAAAAGCAAAATCCTTCTCTTTTGGCCTGGCTAAACCCCACAGCCCCAGGGCTTCTTCCCTTCCAAAGTGGGCCCTCCCACTTGGCATTCCACATAGCAATTCCATAACTTTGATATGCTGGAATTAATTTTCCTCTTTCCTCCTCCACCCTATTTCCTTTTCTGTTTGTTAGGTGTTAATCGGAGACCAGTCTCTTGTATTTTTGTATCATCTTTTGCAGCATTGCAGTACAAATTATTTAAAAGTCTAGTAGTTATCATTTTGGAAATATCCATGTGCTGGATCCAAGATCTGCCTTCTACAAGAGGAAGAGCTCTGTTCAGAGACAGTTCTGATTGAATTTTGCAGATCCTTCCCCCACTGCTGATTCAGCAGGCCTTCTGATGCATGGTGTGGAATTTTCAAGGGGGTTGCGAGGCTATTGTGGGAAGGAATGGGACAGGGAGGTCATTTCTGCCAGCACAGCTTAAATCTGGATCCAAGTGTTTGAAATTACTACAATAATTTAATATATCATGACTGCACAGTGCCTTATCAAGCACAAGAGGACTGATCCCTGCCCCAAGGAACATGTGGTAGTGGTGGTGATAAACAATAATTATGACTTAAAAAATAATCAGTGTATTAATTCATTGGTCAGAATAAATGCTTGTTCTCTGGACTGTTACATTCAGCATAGTGCTTTCGTTTTGCCAAAAATTCCACAAATTCCAAATATCTGATTTACAACAGATCATGCAAATTGCTGTACAGAATTCAAATGTTTTACTCACAGAATAACATGCTGATTATGTTACTCTCCACAGACAATCTTTTTCATACACTTCAGGGTATCAGTCTTCAGTTACACTTAATGAGTATTTAGATATTTCCTCCATTTAATATTGAAATTAGGTGTTTTTTGTTTTGCTTTTTTTTTTTTTTTTTTTACTTGTAGGAACATTTCATGGAAGTAATAAGGAACCAAGAATTTTTATTGTTACCAGCAACTGAAATTGCAAAGCTGTTGGCCAGTGATGATATGAATATTCCCAATGAAGAGACTATCCTCAATGCATTGCTTACATGGGTGCGACATGATTTGGAACAAAGAAAGAAGGATCTCAGCAAACTCTTGGCATACATCAGGCTACCATTACTTGCACCACAGGTAAATTGCTGCAAAATGTGCAGCTGCTCGTTCATCCTTTTCCAGATGGTATCATTAAATGAAGGTAATGTGGCTTGATTGTCTCTTACCCTAGATAATTTTCCATCTGTAAATGTCTGTTTATACATAGAGATCAATTGCTATTAATATGCTGCCACAAATATGTTCTGGTTTAATATAACTATAAAGAGACCCATTGGGCTCATGGAGTTATTTGTGCTCTTTGATCAAAGATCTAGATTGGAGTGGCCCTGAGGTCTTGTTCTAAAGCCCTCTTGCTTCTCAGAGCACCCCCGCTCACCTCCCAGTCCAGATCCCAGTGATGGCAAGGGCATGATTGTGGCAAGCTCTCCCAAGGCCAGGAAGAAAGCAAGTTGGGCTGGTGGCCTCACAACAGCTCACCCCAGCGTGCGCTATGCCACTCCAGCTAACAAGTGTAAAGTCGCTTAGGAACTCAAGTATGGGAGGTCCAGCATGTCCATTCCAAGAAGGTATAAGGGTCCAGGGGAGTCACAGGTGAGGGTTTCTAGTTGGAGAAACAGGGAAGAAACGAATGGGCCACAAAGATATAATAAGGAAATGGAATTCATTCTGTGGTCCCCATTTGTGGGAGCAGTTATTTTTTAAAGTTGTTAAAACAAAGGGTTTCTTTTAGAACAAGGTTTTGACAGAACTAAGCAGGGTGTTTTGACAGGGACATATGCAGCCAGGAATGTGTAGCACTAGCAATTGATTCAGTTTATCTCTGGAAAAAGTGAATCGCATAAAGTGACGCAAAACTGTACAAACAGTGGGGCAGCTATGTTGTTTTACTACATTCAGTTGTACCAAAACAAAGTATTATTGGGCAGGGGTGAAAGTCACCAAGACCAAGATACAGGGCATTTTAATATATTCTTCTAAACTGGAATGCAGGACATCCTGAGCCGTCCTGAGATGCCATGCATAAGGGATGCCATAGAAAAGTTTTAAATAACTAAATAACCCTTCAGGCCAAAGACCAAATTCTATATCAGAGAAAGGCTTGGGGACCATATTCCAGTGGTGGGCAGTGCCAAACACAAAGGAGGTAAAACCAAAATACTAGCAGATTTTGGCGTAAAGCTCTTAGTGCCAGTAATTAAACTTTAAAAAGGCATTTCAGTCTTTTAAAAGGAAGGAAACCCTGCAGAAAGCTAGAGAAAAAGCAAGTAATGGGTTGGGGGAATGGTGCATCTCCATGGTGCATCTCCATGGAGAATTCCAAAGGACTAGATTGGGAGTCCAGTCCAGGTTCTGAACCCATTTATCAAATAAGCTAAAATAATATTCACTCAGTCATGACTCAGTATTTGTAAATCACTCATCATGGTAACTTATTGGAATGAGTTAAGGAACAATCAGTTTCTGGGAACTATAGAATATTAAGTACCATCTAGTATAATTTGTTAAGAACAAAATTTGCCAGATCAAGCTTGACCAATGCACTTGGTTCAGTGAAGATTGCTACTGTATAACTTGTGTTCAGTTTGTACTATGCTGTTCATTGAAAGTACGTTGCATAAAAGCAAATGTAAATTTATACTATATGGTAAATAGATAGTAATATTATCTAAAATTATGTCTATATATGTCAGAGAGCTTCATATTGATTTGAGAAATTCTCTTCCCAGAGATGCAAATAATAATATAGCCTGTGTACACATAAATTTCACCTGATCGAGCAAATACCAGCTTGGAAGTGATGGGGTGATGTTAATTCGGAAAATGGTCCTGAAAAAAGGATTAAAACCTAGTATAAAGTTAAAGAGGATGACATTGCCTATCTTGGCCTTGACTTTACATTTTTAGTATCTGTTGATTACATATTAGTTGATGTTTATGTCTGTATTAGTTACTATTAATTCCCTGACAGAAGCTTTGCCATTTTGTGGCCAGAATAATGTTGGTTTAGCCCTGCTTAGCAATTCAGCACATCTTATTTCTTTCTTCCTAGTTTTTGGCAGATATGGAAAACAATCCGCTTTTCAGAGATGACATCGAATGTCAAAAACTCATTATGGAAGCAATGAAATACCATTTGTTGCCAGAGAGACGGCCCATGCTACAAAGCCCTCGTACAAAGCCTCGAAAATCTACAGTTGGTGTGTTATTTGCAGTTGGAGGCATGGATGCAACAAAAGGTAATTGATTTAGCATGACTATACACAGGGTGAAAACCAATCTGTCATTTTTAGAACAGGAAGGCCAGATTAAAAATGCTTTTGTTTGCTGTTCAGTTTATTGATTTATTTCATTTGAGTCACCACATAGCCAAAGCACTCAGGACAACATAAATAATAAAAACAAAACAAAAAACCAATAATAGCACTTAAAGGCAACAATTATAAAACAGAAGATTAAATATTAAGGTAGTAAAGAGAAGGGCAATTTTAAAACATATCTTGGGGAGTAAAACAAGTAGCAAGCCAAAATGTCAAAAGGCATGAATGAATGGAGAAAAAAATCTTCTCCTGGTACTGGAAAAGCAACAAAGGTGTTCCCAGGAGGAATTCTCTAGGGAGGACATTCCACAACTTGACCCCCACAGAAGGACCTTCTCATGACCATCCAGCCACCAAATCTATTACATGGGAACATTCAAACCCAGGCCTTAGATGACAATCTCTGGCCATGGCCAGAAACTTAAGAAGCAATTTAGAAGTTGTGTCCCCAGGCCATGAACAGCAGCGCCTTAAACTGGGTCTAGAAATCTCCTGGAACCCAGTAAAGATGGTACAGTTCTGGTGTAATAGAGTCATAGCACCCAGGCCAAGTCAATACACTTACCTAAAGTTTTTGGGTTGTCCCTTCAAAAGTAGCCCATATACAGTGCACTACAGTAATCCAACTGACAGGGTACCAAGGCATATCTCACTAATCATTATCATCTTCCAGGTAGGATGATAGTTTGTATACCAGTTAGTTTTTATTTGATGGTCACAGACCAGGAAGATTAATAAACAGATAAAATAACTGTGGAAAAATTAAAACACTGTTAAAACAAGTAGAGTTAACACAATAATTTCGCTCAGGCAAGTGACCACATTTTTCCTAATCTGCATTGTACCATTCTATACTCCTAAAATGCACTACATGCCACCAAAGATGCTTGTGCTTCAAATGACAAAGATAGAACTAGAAGTACTCAGAAACCACACACCTGACCCTTTAAGGCAGAAATACAGATTTCCTGGCCTCGTAACTAGCCCAGTGATGGAGTATCAATCTTCTGCAGAGGGAATCCCCAATTTTATCTCCAGTCTGAGATTCCATTTTTTTAATGTCTGACGTACACATGGGTAAGGATGGACATGAACAAATGTGTATGTGCACCGCTTTAAAAAATAGTACACATGAAATATGTGCAGACAAGCAAATTGATGGGTGAATCATCTCACACAAACTGTAAATCCAGATTTATAATAATCTGTGGACAATCTGTTTTAAAATCTTACATCTGTCTTAACATAGTCAAGAATGCTTTGAAACCTATTAATTGATGTAAATACCTATATAGTTGGCGTGGATATACCAACTTTACTTTAACCAAGTCTGAGAAATCTGTTTGATTTTAGTTTATTAATGAAAGTGAAAAAGATATAAGAAACAGGAAGATGTATTATATATTGTTTCACCTCTGTGCACACAAGTATTCAGTGAAGTGAGTCAAAATATTTTGTTAAAATGTGAAGTAGCTCTATGTACAATGTTGTACTTTGTAGTTACTTTAGGATAATCATATCTGTTGTATAACATTTAAAGAATTATTAACTTTACTAGAGTATTGATGAAGAGTTCTTGTATCAGTTGCTTAAACATGTAGATTATGTCTTCTAAATGTAAATGTGGTTGGAGCATATTTTCATTCTAATTTCTGTTAGCCTGTGATATTGTGTGAATAACTGATATTAGAGATGCTAAAGAAATTGCAGATATAAATTCACAGAATGAGACAGCTCTTTTGATGCTTAGATAGGTAAGAAAGCATTTCATCAGGTTTCCATCAAGGTTGGAAACAGAGTTCCATCCTCAGAACTGTAGATCTATCCTTGGCTATCCCTCCCCTTCCCCACAGCCAGCAGATAGTGAGCCACACTTACTGCTTCTCCAAGGTCAGAAATGCAACCTTGGAGAAGGGTCAAAATGCATGTTACACAGAGAAGGAAGCAAACCAGGGTCACCAGAATATGAGGTATATTTATGGCACTGTAGCCTCTTTCCATTCCGGTCCCAAGTGTTGCAGCTAGACAGTTGAAATCAGCTGGCTTACAAAAGGAGAGGAGCAGGGAGGCAGAGAACACTTCTGTTTCTCCCATCTGGCAATGAATGTGCAAGTTCAGAGATTTTTGAGCATTGAGGGCACATCCCATTGGATTGCACCCTAAATCAACAAACCAGTAAGTTTTACGCCTGTTCCAAAATTGTTTGCAACATTTCATTTGGATTTGGCCAAGGGAAACAGCAAATGTTTACTTGAAACCTGCTAAATTAATTGCTATTGAAATCTTTTGTGCATTTCAGTAATTATTAAAATTTAGTGTGCTGAAGTAATTGCTGTTGAAATTTTAAGCATGCATATTGACTTGAATTAATGCTATTATTTTATCTTTTGTGTATATGTTTTTAAGTACAATTAAAAATGTATGGCCATATCATGTTGCAACATAATGTTTTATTTTCATGAAGGTGATAGTAAGCATTGATTTTTTTTAAAAAATAGTATTCTTTTATACTATTGCTAAGGAGCAACAAGCATTGAAAAGTATGATCTCCGTACCAATATGTGGACTCCGGTAGCTAATATGAATGGGAGAAGATTACAGTTTGGAGTGGCTGTGTTAGATGATAAATTGTACGTTGTTGGAGGTAGAGATGGACTGAAGACATTGAATACTGTGGAATGTTACAACCCCAAAACAAAAACTTGGAGTGTGATGCCACCTATGTCTACTCACCGGCATGGTCTTGGTAAGTATATTTGTTTTTCATAGCTTGCTTTTTAAAGCAAAAGCAGCATTATGATCAACCCATTTATGGCAAATGTTTGTAAGGTCCTGTTTGTGATGTTTTGATGAATGCAGGGCCAACAATTTTAATAAAGATCAGAAGCAACCACATGACTTTCATTATAATCTCCAGTGTCATTCTGTCTCTTTTCAATTGGAGAGCAGAATACCTCGAACAGTTTGGAAATCTCCATGATATGTCCATCCAGAGATATGTATAGACAAAACAACAGCAATGAGGTGCAATCACTGAGTTATTTTATATACCAGCCAAATACACTCTCTTCAGGATACAAAAGACTTTTTCCTGAAATCATTATTTTTGATCAAGAGTCTGAAAAGTTACTCAAGGTTTGTGATGACAGTGGTAGAATAACAATATTGCAGAATCAATGCAAATGTGACTGATAGGGTTCTGGTGAACTTTGAGGCCCTTGGAAGATTATCGGGGATTCCGCAACAAGCAGACAATGGATCAGCATTGCTTTGAAGATATGACACAGGAAAGGGATAGACTAGATTCTGCGTATTTTTTAAAATGTCTTCCATTAGTTGGCCCATGCTCCCCTTGAATTGATTTAATGACTCAAAATCATTAATTAATGATATTAATACTCAAAATAGGTATTATGCATTGTTGGGAATTTATTTAAAGAACATTTAGAAAATTAATGTTTATTGATTGCTTTTATTTTTCTGTAACCAAGGCAGATTACCAGAATCCAGATAAGAAACAGATGATAGATGTATTAAAACAATGATTACAGCTGATGTACTACATGTAGTAGTGCAGATGTGTCTCTTACCACTGCTGCCACCTGAAGATCCAGAGACAGCATAAGATCCAGGAATACTCAGAAGCTACAAACATGATTTTTCAGTAGGAGTGTGACTCCATTCCAAATGGGTTGAATCTCAGTCCCTGAGTCCCCTTGCTTACCCTCATCCATCCCATTATTGCATATGAACAATGTTCAAGCGTGGTGACTGCTTCCTTGGAGTCAGCTATCCAGCACTAATAGAGATAAATGAGGACATCTAACTTCAGAGCTCCAAATGACCTCTCCCAGTGGTTCCATGTAGAGGTTAAATTCATAGGGGACAGGATGAAATCTTGTTGGAAATCATAGACCAGTTATATATAAGATATACAACTTATCAACATCACATTTAGAAATGGTGTTTTTTGCTTTAAGGGGTAGCAGTATTGGAAGGTCCTATGTATGCTGTAGGTGGACATGATGGCTGGAGTTACCTGAATACTGTAGAACGATGGGATCCACAGGCCCGGCAGTGGAACTTTGTGGCTAGTATGTCAACTCCACGGAGTACAGTGGGCGTGGCAGTATTAAGTGGAAAGTAAGTAGAACTACATAAATAAAATTGATTGCCCCACATTTTATTCAGAAACTAGTAACAGATTGAATTGGGCATATGATGTCCTCTGCTAAGAGAAGAGAGCACTAGGATTCTGAATGATGCACAGTATGCATGTTTTATAGACCTACACATTATTTATTAATTTACTGAAGAGCAGTGTTAGGAAATCTCTGTTATCCTTGTTATTAATCACTCCTCAATCTTAAATGATTTCAGGACCACAGATAGGACTTCTTTTGTCATACAATATTTATAGAAAATTTGATGTATTTGCTTATTTATTAGAATACTTTTTTACCACTTAATATAGTAAAATCTTGAAGTCATTCACATTAAAATACGACAATATAACAGCACAAATCAAATATTAAAAGCATAATCATACAGATTTTGCAAATATAGTAACAAATGAACAAAATATTGAAAACTAAAAAAATGGAAGAATGAGCCGCTGCCTCCAGGAACAGGGTAGCTGAAGAAGTTTAAAAGAAAATATGAATGGCAAATTCATATATTTTAGGGAAGGAGAAAAAATTCAGATGTGTGGTTTGTATTGTTTCTGAAAAATATACCAAAATATCTGGAGCAGCTGTTATAGTAGAAAAACTCTTTTCTTGTTTGTTTTCTTTATAGTCATTTCACTTACCTTCTAATTCCTTGTTAATCTGAACTTTTTGTACTCTTTGTTTAGAAAGAGAAAAGAAACATTCCCATAACTGGGAGTGGAGGGGAGAAAAAAATATTACTTGTAGATATTTCAAAGGAGCATGCAAATATGGCATGTGTTAAATCATACCCTTCAAAATTATTAATGCAACAATAAAGGACAAACTGCACCACCTGTTGAAGTGGAAAGTAATCAACCCATAGCTGTTGTTCAAAACCGTTACTTTTGTTACCAAGAAATTATTGGTAGGCTTTACTTTAAGAAGCATCAGAAAACAAATGAGACCTGCTCTTTCACTGACAGAATTCCCTTTCAACTTTTCTTGCCCCTGTGAAAGATTTCAGTACATTAGACAGGATTTTTACTCTGCTCTAATTTAGTACCAACGTCAGGTTTTCCTCTCTTTTGTTGTGCTTTAGTAATGATTGTTGACATTAACTTCCTAACGTGTTTGCATACATCTACAGGTTATATGCAGTTGGTGGTCGAGATGGGAGTTCATGTCTCAAATCAGTAGAATGCTTTGATCCTCATACTAACAAATGGACGCTTTGTGCTCAAATGTCAAAACGAAGAGGTGGAGTTGGCGTAACCACTTGGAATGGTTTCCTGTATGCTATTGGTGGTCATGATGCACCAGCTTCCAACTTGACATCCAGGCTGTCTGATTGTGTGGAAAGGTATTATTCCAATCAACATCAAGTTATTCAACCTAGCTTGTACAGAAAAGCTTTACTGAAGGAAGAAGATGCAAGTTCTGTTGTGTGAGCAGAAGACCACTTACAGAACACTGGATGCAGCTTCTTTCAGTTTTCTAGGAAGGACAGTGGCTTTTTTTCAGGTCAGGTTGAGAGTTGCCAGTTGGCCCAGTTATCAAGTGGAATTCATAGCCAAGTGAGGACTAGAACCCAGCTCTCCTGAGTCTTAATCCAACATCCTAAACCCTGCACCATACTGGTTCTGTAACAAAATTATCCTTCATCTTAAAATCCTTGATGTAATAGTTGTTCCATTTTATAGCAGCCTCAAATGTGTTTGCAATTGATACCTTGGGTCTATAGTGCAGGAAGATGCAGAAAAGAATAGAAAATATAATAACAAGTAGGGCATAAGCAGAAGTAATTGATCAGCGCAGGGGACTCAACACATTCTACTCATGTAGGTACAAGTAGTGCAATGTCAAACCAAGGCACCCCTCAAGCCGTTTCCTCGCTCTATAAATAAATGGAACTTTTTTTTTCCAATTTGGCTGGGGTTGGGGGCGTTGAAATATGCCTTCTCCATAAATGTTCAGAGGGTGCATGCAGAAACCCTGTCAAACTTTCCTTTGGCAACAAGATCCCTGATGAGGCTGTTGGCTTCACCCTCTTCCAGCCAATTGTCAACAGAGAGGGTTTGTGTTCCTTCTCTAAGTGTTTGAGTGATTATTCAGTTCTATTAAACAGTGAGGAAAAAAGCGCATCCTGCTGAAAAACAACTGGAATCAAATGCCAACTCCTACCTTGGCCCCAAGGACCCTTGGGGCAACAGGCTACTTGGTTGAGGATACTCTTTACCCATCTCTAAATAAGGTTAGGGTAGGTTCAGTAGGGTACCTCCTTGTCCCATTCAAATGAATAAAAAAGATTTGCTTCATTCACTTCCATGGAAAAGGAAACAAAGGAGGAACCACAGAAGAGGGGAGAGAGAAATGGAAAAGGAGCCACAGAGGAAGGAAAGACCACAGAATGAGAGAATGAAAGAGAAAGAGAAGCCAGAGAAAGGTGCTAAAGGAAAGTTTTTTTGTGATTGGACTCATAGGAGCTGATTTATAGTGAGGCCTACCAGACTTTTTAAAATTTCAAATGTGCCCACAGGCCTAGAAAGGTTGAGGCCCTGGACTAGTGTGTTTCTATAACAGTAATACTTTTCATTGAACAGTGGCCAGAGCCTCTGCACTGAGAGAACTGGTCTTGCACCAAGATTTATTCATTCATTTTTTTTTTTCATTTTTCGATTTATATCCTGCCTTTTTCCTACAAAGGCTCAAGGCAGCTTACATTTCCTCCTCCCCACAACAACAACCCTGTGAAGTAGGTTGGACCGAGAGTCTGTGACTGGCCCAAAGTCACCCAGTTGGCTCTGTGGCCGAGCGGGGACTCGAACCCGGATCGCCTGAGTCCCAGACACCACACTGGCTCTCAACTTGAGCTGATTATTCCGTGTCCCACACTCTGGTATCAGCAAAAAGAGACCTTGACCCCCCTCTTTGTGGCAGCCTTTGAGGTCCTTCTAGAGAGGTATCATGTCCCCCTCAGTCTTCTCTCCTCAGGGCTGAACAGGCCCAGTTCCCTCAGTCTCTCCTCACAGGGCAGAGTCTCCAAACCCTGGATCATTTTTGTTGCCCTCTGGACCCTTTCTAATTTCCCTGCATCTTGCCTAAATCTTGGTGTCCAGAACTGGACACGGGATTCCAGGTGAGGTGGTTTAACTAGTGAGGAGTATGGAGGAAGTACGAGTACTTCTCATGATGTGGAAGTTCTGCTTCCATTAATGCATCCCAAAATGGCATTTGCTGTTTTGGGGGCTGCATCACCTCGCTGGGACATATTTAGCTGCTTGTCCACAATCACGTTAAGGTCTTGCTCGGTTCTGCTGGGCCTCTTCCGCATCTTGCATCGATGCTTCGGGTTTCTTTTTCCGAGGGTCCCGGCAGAAGCGCATTCCGCTGCTTGCAGCCCTGGGTTCAAGATCGCCCTGGATCTTCGTTCTGCCCCCGGGGGGATCACCCGGTGCTAGATCGTCCTGCTCAGCCACAAAGTCCCCTGGGTGACTTTGGGCCAGTCTGCGACACTTGGCCCGACTACCCCACAGGGCTGTCGTGAGGATGAATGGACTCTACTTCCTCCTTGAGGCCGAAAGGCGAGCCCGAATTGCAAAGAGATAAAGGGAACGCTGCGAGCGACGCGCCACTTTATGTTCCACTTTAGCTACAGTCCTGTTCTGTAGTCTTGGCCAGGTATCTGTCTCTTAGCCCCAAAGATTGTAGTTATCATCCATTAGTCAGATCAGAATGTTGGAAAAGAAAAGAAAGCTTACATTTTTAAAACTGAGGCAAGCTTTCACAGTTCTTTATTTTCAAGCTATGTCAAAAACCATGATGATACATTCCCCATGATTTATCTTTTGTCTGATATGGTTTCTATTGTAACTCACAAAATTTTCCTTTTTGATTTGGCAGTATCGAAAATGCACACAAAAAATTTTAAAATGTAATTGACTGTTTTGGGGATGCCATGATTTATAATGATTAACTTTAAAATTAGTGTATGTTTATTGTAAATATATCTTATATAACATGTCACAAATGTATTCTAGTTTTAAGTACTTTAGATCTTGTTTCATGTTGCACTTGTCTTCCTTTGCTTTAATCACACTGTATGTGAATGGCCTATGGTCCAAATGAACTGTTGTGTAGCCAAAAACACATGCAGAATATTTTATTGGTGCAACTTGAGGCAACTGAGATGAAACTTTTCATTTTTGTTTGTTTTTAATTTCAGGTATGATCCCAAAACGGATGTGTGGACTGCTGTGGCATCAATGAGCATTAGCAGAGATGCAGTGGGAGTGTGCCTACTTGGAGACAGATTGTATGCTGTTGGAGGATATGATGGACAAACCTACCTTAACACAGTGGAATCCTATGACCCCCAGACAAATGAGTGGACACAGGTATTGGTTAATATTTGGAGGGCTCCCATGTCAATGATGAGGTTATATAGCATGTCATCTACCCACCTTTGGTGAGTTAGCTTGGTAATAACCCATATGTACGAGTCCCAGAGACTAAAGAGGAGAACAGGTTACTTCTCTTTACCTGTAGTTCTTTGAGTGGTCAGCCCAACCCTTCCACATCCCTGCTTCCCTGTTCTGAATTGATCCTACCACTGCAGCAGACTGGGTACTGAACAGTAGAGGCAGGAGCCATACTCTGAACATATACATGGGAGATGAGATCCCTGCAAAATTCTGCTCAGTTCTAGAATGTCCTAAATGATGCTCACAGGCAGCCATATATGTGAGTATGCATATGACCCCCAAAGAACAGCAGTTACAAGTAAGCAGTCTGTCCTTTCATCATTTCTGGATTTGAGCACTGGCACTGAGTAAAAGGTTTTGGAGTGGAGCTCAGGTGGGCTTTTGATTGAAATAAATGGAGTGGAGGATTCTTCTTGCTTACATATTCATATTGCTGTACTTTTCCCCCTCATAATTTGTTCTAATGCTTTGACATAATACTTATAAATCTCTTTTAAAAAAAACTAGTTTGCTTTGTCATTGACCTATTTTTATTTTGCCCTTACAGGTTGCACCATTGTGCCTTGGAAGAGCTGGTGCATGTGTTGTGACTGTAAAACTCTGAATAAAAATATACTTCTATAGACTTTCTGGGGGCTTTGCCCCAAATCACTAAGTTATAATCAAATAAGGTACTGTGTATCTCCACAGGGCAAAGAGTTTGGTCTTAATCTAATGGCTTTTTTTTAAAAAAATGGACCAACATTATGCACTTTTTAAAACAAGCAATGCAATTTACGTACATTTATTTGTAATGGAATACACTACAGACAGCTGGCATGCGATATAAGAAGTACAGACTGAAAAATTAATTGGCGCTTAAAAAATGTTGGTTCTTATAGAGGCTCAGAAAGGTATTTTTTTAAAAGCCTGGGCACAGTATCAGATATCTTAATTTCCATATGCAGGTTTTTGCCAGGATCAACATGCAGGTATTAAACTTGCTTTATTCCAAATGTTTTGTCTTGATTGTTTGAAGATTGTTTTTACATGGTACAAAGGCAAACCAAATGCAGACAATGGCAAAGTATTGTGTATACCTCTTGCCTGGGAATTTCTATACATTTGCTGCCTGAACTCTTCTTACACCTCTGAAGTTTTGCAGTCTTTTGTTTGTTTAACCAAAGCCTTACTTTAATTATTGTATTATGCTATGAAATCATGCTATGGAATACATTCTTCAAGAAGTTTGCAGTATCCAGTACAATTGCTGGATTTCCTAATCTTCTATGTAACTTTCTGTACCCTGTGAATATTTATTCATGATTTAATCTCTTCCTCAACTATAGTGCATCTTCACTTTGTGGATCTCTTCCTAAAAAGAGATGTGGGGAGAGCTCTGATGCATGATTAAAAGTGATGTTCTTTTGTGCTTTCTGATGCATTCCATGATCCAAACTGATATGTGGCTAACTTTAATTGACTTTGAAAGAGGAGTGTGCATAAATCTAAATACATTTTTATAATTGTAAAACTCCTGAGGGCCTTTTTACCTTGGCAAAATGTGGGCATTATCCTAAAAGCTATGTATCCTCTGGGGATGTTCAGCTAACGTTCCCCAAAATAGTTATTTCTTTCAAGGACCAGCCTTATGTGGCTAACTTATTTAATATTCTAATGATAATGGATTTTCTTTAGAATTTGCCTTATGTTGATCTTTTATACTACTCAGAATTACTTGGGGGTTCCAAGTAATTGGAAGTATATAAAACTTTAATATTTTATTTTGTGCCTTGTTTCTTATGTACTCAAATATAGTATGTAACACATTGTTGTACTTTATCATGAAAAATCTAAATATGTAAACTCAAGGAACTTTTTGTGAAAGTAAATGGGAAATGTCTGATATGTTAAATCTTTGCACACTTGTAATTTTTAAATGTAATTCTGGACTCAAGCTCACTATTAACTATTTATTAGTTTAAAAGGAAAATACATTTTTATGTATTGCTTAAGTTCTGTTTATTACTTTTTTCAAATGTGGTTTTGTGATGCCTTTGTTAAAACCACAGTGCAAAAATAAGTAAATGCAAAAATTCTTTCTAGCTGTTTTTTTTTTTTTTTTTAGAGAAATCACTTGCCCTTATTTTTCTTTTTGCAAATCCCTCTCTTCTATTCTTCTGTATTGCAGTTTAATAAATATAGTTTCCATGAATGGAAACATCTCAATGCCAGTATATATCCTACTCAGGCCAGTCAAAAGGCTTGTTGAATACATTCTTTATGTATTTCGAATGGCTTTTTCATTGACTGAGTGCTGACTACTTTATGGGAGCTATCATGCTATAAGTTTTGATCCCATAAAGTCAATTGAGCTATCATACTATAAGTCATTATTTTTAAATAAAGCTACTTTATTGAGTGTTCATAACAGAAAGCAATAATCAGAACTCTTACCACTTCTCACAAATCTGAGAGGCCTTGTAAAGCAGTGAGTTTGCTTGGTATGCTTGACCAATAACAAACTAGTCAAGATGACTTATTTAGAAGGAGGCAGCTTTATTCCGGAATAAATGGGACTACATGCACAAAAGCAAAGCAAGGTTCTCATGCAATACCAGCCCAAACTACACATGTTTCTAACTTTTTTACTACTGAATAAATATTCTATTCCTGCTCCTCCCATTATCCCAGCTCCAGTTTAGGCTGGCTATAACCAGCTTCAGCTGTGCCATCTTTGCTTTTCTTGGCATTTGGGAGGGATTGTTTCCCTAATTCATGCAAGAGTTGGCTGTCATTGAGTATGTGATGAGTTGAAATGCCTCTGAGCCTTGAGGCCAATCATTAGGGCAAATTTGTCTATTACAAATGACAGAAATAGTTATAATTAAAATAAAAGTTCCATAATCAGGGTGTCTTGAAATTCCAGAACTCTGTCTTGGGATGTATCCTAAATTTTGCTGTCTCCAGGAGTAGGGGAGTTAATAAGACCCAGCCATTTCATACGTATATTTTTTTAAAATTCACTGTGCTACAACCAAATATCAATCAAAGCCCCAGAAATATACCCTTCACTTTAATGCTAAACCTTCATGCAAAATGTACATTTATAAATTGCTCCACACAGATGTTTAGTTGTTCTATAAATGAAATTAGGTTGGCTAAATTTCATTCACATATTTAAATAAAAGGCTGCAATTGTAATTATTTCTACTTCACAAGGTAGAGTTGGGAAACTTCAAGCCTGGAAACTAAATCTGGCCCTCCATGGGTCCCAGACTAGCTTTTTGGATTCCTCAAATGGCCATGCTCCTCTTTCCCAGCTTCACCCTCTTTCTCTCAACAACTTCCCAGCTTTTGTTCAGCTTCTTCCCTATTGCCTCTCCTAAGCCTTAGTTACTGGCACTAAATGCTTTGACAATATTCTGGTGTGCTTTGTGCATTTTTGGCCCTTCAACCTTGGGCACCACTGGGACATGACTTCTGAACATCTCCAAAACTGAATTTGGTTCACAGGCTGAAAGATGTTCCCCACTCCAGCCATAAACCATAGGATGCATCTCTCTAGCTCACCAATTTAATGCTATATCCAGATGTATGCTGGGGTTCATATCTAGGAATTTCAAACTAGCAACCAAGCTTCCTTGTAAGAACATGCCAACAGCAGGTTTCAAGTGCAGATAGAAAAGACCTGATGGGTTCTAGAGTGCATTTTTAGTTTATTTAGATACAGCAGTATCTAAATGAACCTGGCCAGTGGCCTACATTACCAATGGACATGACCTAGATGTGGTCCAGAATCTACTGTAAATCACATGTCAATGTGGAAAACATTCCCCAGAAATACTTCTTTAAGCCATATGGGATGCAGGTCTACTCAAAGGTAAGTCCCATTGTACTCAGTGTATACAGGATTACTATCCTTCCTAGCTATCATCACTGGGTGTGTGCACACATCAAATATCAAAATACTAACTTTATACAGCTCAATATGAACCTTATAACATGTAAATTGTATTTGAATATAAAGGTGCAGCCAAAGAGAACAATATTTATCTGAAACATTTGAGCTAACTTCCGAATGAAGCCAAACCTTTGTCCAGTTTCCTGTCCTCTTCCATTTCTCCATCTATTTCAGCTTCCCTACCACAACTTTTTTCCCTCCATCCTTGTTTCCATTCCATCCACTGTCACCACCTCTGTGTTCTCTTCCATCTATATGAAATTACAATATTGGGTCAGTTTGACATGGGTTGAAACAATTCTTGGTTTGATCCAGTACAGCCTACAACCAAAGCTACACACTTGAGACACTGTTCCCCCCTATCTGACGCCATGTCTGCTTGCAGCCCTAGGCATAATCCTTGCCATGTATCCCTATAGCGACCCAAGGATCTGTCACTCCATTCTGAGGAAGCTGGAAGGGGTAGCTATATAATCCTTCAAGCTATTCCCTTTTAGCTTCAAATTGTGCCAACCACAATACTATGTGCTTGTTACGGAAGTAACTAAAAGTGGTATTGCAGGTTTCAGATGCAACTATCTGAATTAATGCATTTTAAAAACCAAAATCATTCAAGTGTCTAGCTTTCACAGTCTGTATGCTTTAAGTGCTGATGGACTGACATACACATGCTGTTTTATTATTATAAATTTAGGTGTTGCTTTTTGGCCCAAATAAAGCTCCCAAGGTTACTTAAAACAACAATTTTAAAAATTTTGAAACATCACCAACAGCAGAATTAAGAGAACAGAATCTAAAACAGTGTAAAGATAGTATGTTGAAATAGCCATGGAACAAAACACTTTTCCCAGCCCATCTAAAACTGAACAAAGAAGGAGCTGTTCTAAGTTCCCTTAAGAGAGTCCAACAAGCAAGATTTTGCCACAGAAAAGGTACTATCTCATGATCAAACCAACCTACCCTTTCAACTCTGTGAAGGCTGAAATGAATGCAGCAATGGAAGATGCAGGCTGAGCATCACTCTATTAGTGTATAGTTCACTCTATCCTGCATCCAGAATGCTGTGAAGAGCAAGAGGGGTGAAAAGAGTAAGTATTACATACCGGATTTGCCCATAAGCACCTATCTGCACAGGCAATTACTGCTTTACCTAGGCAGGAAGGAGAAATTAGAAATGAATGCTGTTTCCCCTCTATGAGAGCAAGACAGATTTTATTTATTTATACTACCAAATAGTGAACACATTATGGGCTGTTTATAACTATCTTAAACATGATAGTAACACCAATAGCCGTCATGTTTCTGCAAAAAAAAAAAAAAACAGCTTAAACACAGGAGCGGAGTGGGGGGGGTCTTTGTTCTGAGGAGAAAAGCATGGAAAAAGCATAGAATGAGAATTTCATGGTGAAAACATGTCATATCCCAGAAAAAGTGAGTGAGTGATGTGTGGTAATTCCACTTCAAACATCTTATGTGGAAGTATCTATGTCAAGCAAAGCCACCTTACCAGCTGCTCTCCACCTGAGGGTGCTAAAGAGTGGGTGCTCTCTGGGACATCATAGAAAAACCACTTGTCACCTATTTTAAAGTCTTTGGGTGGGTTGCCAATACATTTCCAGACACCATGCAAGGTGTGCATAATTACCTTTAAAGCATTTCATGGCTTGGGTCCAAAATACCTTCAGGAGTGCCTTTGCCTGTAAGTTCTGCCTTACCAGCTCAGGTCCTCTGGAGATAATCTGAAGATTAATATCAACTACTCAGAGGACTTTTTCAGTGGTTGCCCCTAAGTTGTGGAATGGTCTGCTGGAAGAGATGCATCTGATTTCCCAAATCATTAAGAGGTAGTTAAAAACATATCCCTTCTTTCCCAGATTAATTTTTATGTCAGAGTTATTTAATACATCATTTTAGTCAATATTACTCATAATTGGTTTTAATTTCTTGTGAGCTGCCCAGAACCTATGAGAATGGGCCAGTATACAAATGAAGATTAATAGATAAAAGATA